ATGATCTATCTGGTAAGTTGAGAGTTTTAAAAAATTGCTTTCAATGTATTTCTCTATTAGGTTTTGATCCCAAAAAGAAACATAAACACTTATATTTCAATGGAGAATTATCATAAAGGATAACAATCGTATTTCTATGGTACTATTATAACTATGATCTGGTAAGTTGAGAGTTTTAAAAAATTGCTTTCAATGTATTTCTCTATTAGGTTTTGATCCCAAAAAGAAACATAAACACTTATATTTCAATGGAGAATTATCATAAAGGATAACAATCGTATTTCTAAATATGGTACTATTTTAGGATTAAATCACATCTTTGTATTGCGTTTTGATTAGGTTAGAGAATGTACTTCTGAAACGATTATTTTGAAACATAGGGGACTCTAAGGCACCACGATTAAATAAAGTAATTCTCAACAAAACCTGAGGGTTAAACTCGTTCTAAGTAACTTTCATTAAACAGCACTAGTTAAGGTAGTTAGCAGCAGTCGGCTAAATGAAGTTATTTTAACTTCTCTATTCATTATACGCTATCAATTCGGTGTCCTCAAATGACAACGCGGTTAACAATACATATTAAATCCTAACTGTAATAACTTCACTATAAATTTCATGGCAATTACAACAGTAATCTTATATTTACCGATAGTGACTCTATGTAGAAGCGTGGACAGCCGTAAACCACGTGTTCATTTCACTTCCTCGACGTGCTGACGTCAACGCGTTACGGTACGTGATACGTTAGCCATTGTGTCATGACAGTTTAGGAGGTCTTAATGTACTTGACTTTAATACTGCTAAATATGTATTTAAATATTTTAAAACAAATGGATTAAGAACTACCTGAAATCCAAAGGCAAAATTTGGAATATCATCCTTGAGTTACTTTTTTTGACAAGTTAGGGGGTTTAGATTTTAGTTTTTTGTTTTTTTGAGGTGTAATTTTGATGTAAACAAGCTTTCTTCTTTTCACAAACAGGTTTGTTTATTATGGATGCTCATAACTTTTCTCCACATAACAGTGATTTGGACCAACAAATATATTACGTTTAAAAATAAGTCTTTTACAGAAACTGGTACAATAATGGTATAATCTTGGTGAGAGTTATTCAAGAATAATGGACATCTCTTTAATCACTGTGAATTCCTTAATTATTACAAGATCCCTGTAACTGTTAAAGAGTTTGCAGTAGTATTTGAAGCCATTTTTAGTGGCCTTATTCAGCTTTTGCCTTAGTCTATCCCCTTATATACGAATCAGTTAAGTATTAATGGTGTGAAAATTATAGATAATAAATTTCATAACTTTTATATTAAAAAATTATGTAGAACCACATTGGAATTCGTTATATGATCAGATTGAATGGAAAGAGGTCTGGAATTTACCTAGTAAATACTGTCTCACCAATCAAGTTAAAGAAGTTACATATAAAGTTATTCATTTGATGAGACAAGTAGTCACAAAAGTTTTTTAGAGACATTGAGACTGCATGAGTCTTTTGTCACTTAGAGGAAGAATCCATAAAACACTTATTTTATGAATGTGTATTTACCCAGATGTTT